ACCAACAAAAACAAAAACAAACCAAAATATCACATTTTTCTCCCACGGGAAACCGTGCAGAGTTGCGTGTGAATGTGAATGGGCAGTTCAATGCGCCACGATTCAAAAATATGTCAAAAATCTATTGGAATCGCTGGTGTCGATGTGCATCGAACTGTGCGCGAACACATGATGGCCATAACGATGATGATGATGATGGCCATCATGACGATGATGATGACGCTCGGCAATGTCGCCGACACTGCATGCCTCCGCATTTTGTAGGTCAGTTCTCGACCCAGTTTACGTGAGACTTGGCTTATTGGCCACGTTGAATGCAGGCTGGAATCATACTTAGAATCCGGGCGCTCAATTGGCACGTGTTTAATCCCAATTGGACGAACTTAGTCGGGACGCAAACCAGTAGCATATACGATTAGCAGAACATTCTTATTAGCCGCTTAAGTTCTGGCATAGTTTCTGGTTTTGGTGAGTCCTGTCTGTACTTGTATAAGGCAGACTACCTGTCGAGATGATAGGTAATATATACAAGTATACTATATATACATACTATAGATATTTACGATCGCTTATTAATTAAAACGTATTTATATTTAAAAGAAGTTTTTTTATATTTGTTACAAAATGATTCTTTTAATTAAATTGAAAGACGCTGTATTGAAGTGTGTTTAAATCAGTTGTAATACACAAGTAGTCTATGTATTAAGTCTATTAATTTGTTGATATTCAAGTGGTTGAAACAAAGAAGGCTTCATTATGTCTACTTTTTCTGATCCGATTATTTTTGGAAGAACTTCACGGATTAAACGTATTAACAAGAATATGCCTAAAAATCTATTTATAATTCGATAAGAGTTGCAAAATAATAAAAACATGTTCAATTATTGTGCTTTCTTAAGTTAAAGTTGATTATTATTGAATTAATTTCATGCTAATTCTGTTCTCCCAAAATTCGCCTGTTTTGGCACATTTGGAGCAGACCAAGCCGGAAATTGATTAGACTGCTCTCCTTTTTGTCCAACTGTGGGCCGTCCATTGCCATATCGCATCGCTTTGAAGTTCAAGGCAGCCAAACGATTCAACGCCATACATTCCAATTCGATTGAAATCGTCACGAGCTGCCCATGCTAATGAAAATTCGCCACGCCTGTTACCATTTCGCTTCTTGTTGTTCACCCAAAAAATTTTCCCACACCAATTGGCAACAACCTGGATCACAGCACACACACACACACACACACACACACTCCAGTCGACAATATACTGGCATTATGTATACATACATATGTATGTACATAGAGAGGTAGCATCAGGGCCCCATTAGTGTGGCGCGTTTTGTTTTAATTTGAAATTCCATAAACGTTTTGGTTCGAACATAAAATAAATAAAAATCAGTACAATTCGAAGAGTTGTCGTCGCCTTTGAGCTTTTGCGACAATCACTCACGTCGCTGCCGACGTCGGCGCAGCCGTTGACATCGACGTCGACATCAATGTGGATGTCGTCGCTATCTTTGACAATACTCGAGTCGTTGTTGTTGGCTGAACACTAAACGTTCTGCGTATTGAAATTAAATTTGTGTCGCCCGACACGATGACTTATTCAATTATTCGATTACACGTGATTGAATTATTGAAATAACATACATATAGTACATAGCTGGCAGGCACTGGCAGCACTGGAAGCACTGGATTCTTCATAGAGGTCCCAGTGAGCGTTGCAGGCTGCTGTCAGATTGTTTTCGTTTCGAGCTCATTCAGCTTTGAACAACGACTGCGTAAAGGTGTTCAATACAAATTCAAAAAGGAAATCACATTGGTTCTCTTTTTCTTTTTCATTTTTGGTAGCTTGTTTTTCTCATTTCTGGTAACACTAACAATGGGCGAAGACGAACTAGTAACTCCGATCACCCCCGAACATTTCCAACGGCGTCAGGCTGTCTTTTTTCCTCGCGTCGACGAGTTTCTGTCCAGTCTGAATATTCAAGATACCCAATTGGAGGGATTGCGCGATGTCTCGGTCCTCACTCTGGAAACATACAAGACGTGTGTGCTGGGCATGCAGACCGCGGCCGGAGATACCCTTAGGGATCCAGAACGGAAAATTGACGGAAAAGCTGCGAAGACATCGGACACTGAGGGCGACACCAGCGAAAATACTGATGCAAATAGTGGGGCAACTGGGAGTGGTGCCATGAAGGCCAAGGGCGCAGAGAATTAATTTCTTTGCAGTTCGTGTTCAGTGTTCGAAAGTCAATAAAATTCCCAGTCCTAAAAATGTTTAGCTAATACTAATACGGACTTGTTTTGGCAGGAAGTATAAATCGTTGTCATTATGGCTATATATTAGGGTATACATCTTAATACGTATAAGCATACTTGTATGTTTCTTTCGTTTTGGGCTAAAAAGGGTTTGATTGACCATTAATTTGAGAGCAGGAATATTACTTCCATTTCTTCTCTAATTGAACCTGCAGCTATGAATACCACTTCGGTATAAAAAATTATAAAATTGCTATTATAAATTGCTAAATTCAGTATTAGGTTTGACTTCACGGTGATTTTTGAGTTGAGAGCTTGAACTGAAATTATCGAGAAGATGCCTGCATTGATATGAAATGAGACGTATACTACTATATATGTTGTTTATGGGCTTACGGCCTTACTGTTCAACTCGTTTTCTCTGCACCCCCTCTGCGAAATTTGTTTCATTCACATGATCTCCACAACAAAGCCAATCGTGTTAAGATTGTGAAAAGCGTGATTTTTTTGAGGTTGTCTTTCTCTTTTATGCACCGCAACTTGGCACAGCGGGGGAGGCAAGAAAAGTTCAAACAGTTAACTGGCAACTTCCAACTTCCAACCGCCACAACTTCCAACTGTCAATTTCAAAAGTTTGACAGCTCATTTTGCATAATTGTGCGGCGTTACGACAAACGCATACAAATTTATTATTGAACTGAATTTTTTATGGTTTGATTTATGATTACTGGGCGATTGTGTGGTTGTCTACCCGGCTCCGGCTCCGGCCCCTGCCTCTGCTCCCTTCCCCTGCATCTGCCCCAGACCCTTCCGCTACCCCATCACCATCACCATCAGCCGTCAGTCGTCAGTCGTCAGTGGAGCACTGAGCAGCGAGGCAGCATGGCAATTGCCATGGCATTGCGCACTCTACTTGGCGGGGCAGTGAGGCAGTGAGGCAGCGTGGCAACGGGGTGAAGGGGAATGGTGCGGCCGCCTTAACGACTTAACATCAAAAATGCTAATTGAGCCGTTTATCGATTTGTCAACAACAAAAACGACAACACAACAACAGTTCGAACAATGGCCACATCAGCGACAATGAAAACAACAATAACAAAATATAAAAACTTCGTTCATTGTTGTTGTTCTTGTTGTTGTTGTTGAAGAGAAAGAAAACAAACGGAATTGACGGCGCTCCTGTTCTTAAAGCGTTCCCTCGATTTTTATTGACTATTAAAACTGTGTCAAAATGTGTTTGAAATTTTTTATTGTTAATTATTTGAGGCGTGTGTAATCTATGGTGCCAATAAACAAAATGTTGACATGGACGGGCTGTGAACTTATTGGATAATGAATGGATCATGCATATAGGCATGAAAAATTGGCAGCAGAATATTAAATGTTGACACGAATGTTGAAAATGGCATTAGAGGATTGAATTTTTGAAAACTGCTGAGGATCAATAATAGCTCATATTATATGTTTGGAGATTTAAAATGTCGATTCTGCCGATCAACACTTGAATTCGACTTGAACAACTAATGACAAAATAGTGATAGCACCTTTTCATGATCTTCATGGACGGATTAGTAACTGAACACTTTCTAATAACTGATCTTATTTAATAAAATTAAAAGATCAACTGTGAGATTAATAAATAATTCTTGATTATCTATGATTTCCGCTAACTTAAGACAATTGCCATTAGTTATCTCTTCTGTATAACAATTTCAATTTAATGTACATAATTCAAGCTGTAGTTTTTTGTTATATTGTGGACACCTTATCCACAGACATACATACTATACATATGTATGAATGACTCTGTTAACTTAAATCTAGGTAAATATGTCGTGCATTATTTTAACAAATCTACAATCTAGATTTGCATTTTCAAACCTGGTCAAGATCATACAAGTAGTATGTGGTTCTAATAACTCTGTGCTTTCGAATGAGCCCAGATCTGTGTAATGATCACTTAAGCCAATTCGCCTCCCATGCGACTTGGCGCTGTTTATAATTAGAGCCAAAACTGTTGAACGCCCCCTTCACAGTTGGCCCCACCCCGCTGCCAGCAGTGCCAATGGTCGCAAGATGAAGCGTGAAGGCAAAATGCCAAATGCCAAAATGAAATGAAATCAAAATCGAAAACTGAAAACTGAAAATGAATAGACATGCAGATCGGACACGCCACAAGCCGAACGCACAACACACAAATACAAATACAAAAACAAAACAAAGTCAAGTGGTGGCCAAGTCGACGGCGCGGCGGCTTCGAGCCGAGCTTGAGTTTGAGTAATGAGGCCTGATGGCGGGCTCCGTGTTGGGGCAGGGGCAGGGGCAGAGTCTGTGGTTTGTGGATCGGGGATTGGGGATTGGGGTAACACTGATTTGCTACGTGGCCGCCCGGCTGACTGGCCGACTGAATGGCTGGATGACTGGATGACTGGCTTGACTGACTGACAGAGAGCGAGCAAAGGCAAAAGAACGAGCACACTGACTGACTGACATTTGATTATTGGCTTCCAATTTGTTGCAGATGTGTCTTGCTCGATTTTGAGCTCAAATTGCGTGCCAGGCGGCTGGCGGCCAGCAGCGGTGGCAGCGGTGGCAGCGGTGGCAGCCGCAGCGGCAATCACGGCTCGCAAATTTGCAAAATGTAGCCAAGACGCAAAGCGAACAGAAGTCAAATTGTGGCCAACATGAAAATTAATGGAGCAATGGAGCGACCATTTGCCTACACTCGGAAAAAACAAGTCGGCTGATGCAATCAAATATATTAATACGAGTATATATATACAAGTATATATATTCAGTATCTGAAATCAATTGGATTGTATTCACAGGATCACAGGCTACATGATGATGATTCTTTTCGAATGCAGACACGACGACTCCGGTCCTACTAGAATTTATTGTGGCTGGGGTAGCTGTGCTGGGTGCGGTGGCTGCGGTGGCTGGGGTGGCTGCGGTTCCGGGTGGCAAAGGGCATTCAGCTTCTGAATGGACTTCTGCATGGGCAGAAACAATTTGAACTCGGACGGCAGCTCGTCCTCCGCATACAGCCGGTCCGAGAAGTAGACACGTCGAATGCGGCAATTGGCGTGTATCTGAACACGCAGGGTCTCCACATACTTGGTGCCGTAGGCGCGTCGGGTGAAGTCGGACAAGTTGAACTGAATCTGATTCCAGCCCTCATCCAGACGCATGGGCATGGTGCATATGAAGGGCTTCACGCGTGTGGTCGACTGATAGTTGCTGGCACGGAACCGTCGACGCACATTCTTGTCATCTAGAACCTGCACCTCGAACGTAAAGTACCTCTTCATGTTCTTTATGATCATGACCAGGAAGGGCAGCTTGATGCCTAGAGTCATCTTTGGATCGAGGGGGCACGATATGAATGTGGTGCTCACGTTGGTGCCAACTATTTCCAGAACTAGACTCTGGATATCGTTGTCAGTTATCCGCTTGATGTGTCCATTCCGCACCTTCTTGTCCCAGAGCTGCAACGGCTTCGAGCCGATGCTGTACAAAATCGATAGGAATCCCGACTGAAAGGTATTCTTGAACATCACGTCTCTGTTGGTCTTTTGGTCGTGGTCTCAGACCGAAATCTAGTTGTTTCAATTTTTAAATTGGCCAGCGAAGGGTTGGCCGATGAATTTTGCAAAGCCGATATTTGAGCGAATTACGAACAATATGCGCCTAATAAGCTTTCGAAATGTCACATATTTATGACACTAACATTCTGCCCAACGTCTACTCCTTTAATCGGTTCTGTGACCAAAAAAGTCCTTGTCAACATACGTCTTGTGAAAAGACAGTGTTTGAAATTCTCAAAAAGTCATTAGGTACGCAATCAGAGTAGTCAGCACATAATCGAGCTATTTACATATATGTATGTGTGTACCTGGGAACAGTCTGTTGCAGAACTTTTGAAACGGCTTATTCCTTTGTAAAAAACGTACGATCTGTTAACAATCTATACAAGTTAGTTATGTATTGTCCATAGACCTGCTGTACCATAATTAAATATTGCATGAAATCGGCGGCGAGCAAACTTTGTGCTTTGTTTACGAATGAAAGATGCCAGAATACTTGTATAAAGACACCGATACAAGACATAATAGATATAATATCGGGCTACACAAAAAAGTGCATTATCTATATTACCGCAATGTGGTTCATATCCTAAAGTACTTTTGGAATTGAAACTTGTTACTTGTGAAGTAAAGGACTGGCTATTTAAAGAAAAATAAACAACAATACACTACTTTTAGTTTTTTTTTTACCTGACATTGATATATGTCTCTATTTCTGTAATTATCTTCAATTGTAATATGCTCAGCTGAGTGCTTGAAATCGGGTCCAGCTGGTATTTCCTGTGGTGCTTATTCCTGATAGATCATTTGTATCTATTTTCCAATGGAGTTCTAAACATAATATCGAATATGTTAAAGACCTTTGAATAAGCTTATACACATAATTCTGTGTTTACACGGTTTTGATTTAACACGGTTTGAAAATGAAAAATGTTTTACTACTGGTTGACCGACTTTTTCTGGAACCAATCTACCGAATTAGGTGTATACGACTAGAAGCAACTATAAGCTATAAAGGAATATGTGGCTTTATTTCCTGGAACTGTATTTTCCTGAGTGTAGTTGGTCGGGCGGTCGTCTGCTGGTCCAGTGGTCGCTCGTTTATTCGCTTGCTGATCGAAGCAGCAGCCGTGATCGTGGCCGCTGCTGCTGATGCCACAAATCGGCGGCAGGAAAGGAGTTATTAAGTTTTTGCGCTTGAATGCAGCTTTGGAAGTACAAGAGTGAGCGAGAGAGAGACAGAGAGAGAGAAAGAGAGAGACAGAGCGAAGTAGAGTGAGAGTGAGAGGATTGGAGTGCATTAGGCAGCGAGTGAGTGAGGGGGATGGCTTATTGCATTGCACTGTTTAATGAAGGCAGTTCGATCGATTTGGCTGGCTACGAGTCGTGGCCGTACCGAGAGAGCTGGGCCGCCTGTCAGGCCCAGTCAAGACAAGTCAAGTCAAGTCGGGCTTGGGTTTCTTGGGCAGCCAGCCAGCCAGCTAGCCAGCGAGGAAGGGAGGCAGTGGCTCAATTTCACATGGGCCTGCTCGCTGTTGTTGTTAGTGTTGTTAGTGTTGGCTGCCGCTGCATGAAACATTTTCGATCTGTCTGTCAGCCAGCTGCCATTTTTCTGAGCTCGGCTCAGTGGCTCTCTTCAACCTAAAGTTGAGGCAAAGTAACCAATTGATTGACATTGGCCACAACGCCCTTTCTGCCTTTTTTTAGTTCTGTATTTTTCCTTTTTTTAACTGGCAAGTTGGGCGAGTTGGGCTGAAAGTTGGCAGTCTGGCCCATTGGTTGGCATTTGATTGCGAATGCGTGGAGCTTCTTAAAGCAACTGTACCGGAAATGTTTTAAGAGCGGGCTGGCAGGCTGGCATGCCAGCCATTCATGAATTTCAAAGCACTTCTTGTGAATTATGCTTAAACAACAGCGAACTAAAAATATTGTACAACAATAATTAATGAAAGCAAGCAGTCGGCGAACAAAGCGAACAAGCGGGGGGCAGAGGGACCACAGATTACCAAAGCAGCAGACGACCAGACAACCAGTTGACCACCAGTTGAAGATCATTCAAGAAAACTGGCGACAAACACTCTAACCACTTACAGTTAGCACAAGTCAATGACAAGCGGCTGGACTGTTGGTTAGGGGGCTGCGGAGACTGGGGGGCTGTCGACTGGGGGCTCAGGGAAGGGTCATGGCATGCTACACAAAACTCTTAACAAACCTGTGTGGCGGAATGGTCGACGGAGACGATGGCAATGGCTATGGCTATGGCGATGACGTCGTTGTCCGCTTACGGGGCGTGTAATTATGAAATTCAAAAGAAATAAGCCATATAAAAGCCAAATACACGCATTCAATTATAGCCAGTTTAACAACAACAACATGAACAACAACAGCAATGGCAATAACAAAACACACTTCATAACTAAATTAGCCCAAGCTGGAACTGGAAGTGGAATTGGGGCTTGAGTTGTAGCTGGAGCTGGAGCTGGAGTTCGGGCTCTGACTCATCGAGGCATTGTGTCAAATGGTTGACAAATTGCAAACTAATATCAGTATAAATAAATGTTTCGTGCTCACACATTATTTAATCTTTGCCGACTCTGCATGGGCATGACTTGAATTCCAAATTGGTTGCCAACAAAAACAACAAAAACAACAGCCAGCTACAAACTGAACAACTGGACACTAAAATTATTGGTCGATCGGCAAAAATGCATGCATGGAATTATAAAATGCAGTTCTACTATAATTAATTGTGTGCAAGCTCTTTGCTACATAAATAATCACATTTTTTAAATTTACAAACAATTCATTAACATTTATGTGAATGTAAACGAATATTTTCAAAACACAGTTGAAGCATCTAAAATGGAAAACAATTGGTTTGCATTAAAAAAGACTTAAAAAGCTTATTTTATTTTAAAAAGAAAATTAGTAAATAATAAGTCCTCGCCAAAATCTGCACTTTAAGTAACAGACCGACTTTTTATTACATTATTTGATTGGTATTCTTAATAGAGCAGCAACAATGCCAACGTCTGGCAAGCAGTTACATTCTCGTGTTTAGCAAAATTTGAAGCACCCAAATAAAGAGCTTCTATTCCTCTTCTATTTTTCCAAATAATTAGTAGTTCGTAAGCTAAGAAAGAATAAGAGTTTTAAAAAGGTTGTCGTACGCTTTCCATAATTCAGTTCGAAATAGAAATAGAATTTTACGTTTTCATTTGGTATTAATTCGATATGTGAATTTCTCTCTTTTCAGCCACATTTTTTATTCTTAAAAGTGGTAGCAGCTGGAAGCAAATACATTTTAATATGAGGTCCAACGGTAAGTTAAAGTATGAGAGAAGACAAAAATATAATTTAGACTTGCTTTATGGTAGACCCTGAATTTATTCATTCTGTTTTAAAGAATGGCCGTCGAATTGACTCGTAATATGGCGAAACACAATGATATGATGTGCTTGAAATATTCGACTCTTTACCGTTCAGGATGTATCGACTTGTGCGATAATAGTTTTTGCTGCAAGCTGCTTGGAATTTTCCCATGCCTTACTTACTCCCTACCTCCCCACTTGCTGTGATCTCTAGCCTCAAATCTCGCTAGCAATTTCTAATTAAATTTTCAACTCGTTCTTTGAGTGTGTGTGTGTGTGTGTGTCTGCAATTTTTGATTGACATTTTACATTAAATGTTCTGGCCGGGCGTCTGCGACTGCGTTGCCGCGTTGAAATTGATCAATTTCACATAATTTCAAGGCAAGTCCGACCCGGTAATGCAAATCCGACAGCTGCGCCTGCGCCTCTGCTGGTGCTGGTGCTAGTGCCAGTGCCAGTGCGAACGCGTTAGAAGTGCTTAGAAGAGGCTTCTTTGTGGTTGTCGCTGGCATGGGTATTGCGTAGAGTTTGGAAGAGGCACTCAGTCGGCTGGTCGGCTGGTCGGCTTATGATTGACAACAGCTGAATTGAGCTGCGAGCTGTAAGTCCACGCATGTCCCGTCGCCATTGCCATTGCCATTGCCATTGCTGCCTCTCCAGCCCCTCAATGGGGAACCGCAATCCCCGCAATCCAGGCCGTGGTTCAGCCAAGCGTGGCAACCCTGCCGTCACTGACAACTTGACGTGCTTTGGGCGCTTTAAAGTTTAAACGTTTTGCTTGCCGCTCCTCATGAGAACTGAGGGGCAAGGATAAGGAGTTCTCCTCCCGCTCTGCTGCTGCTGTTCCTGCTGCTGCTGCTGCTGCTCTCTTGCCTGCCTTTTAATTGCTCGTCGTCTGCCGTTTTCTGCAACTTCTTTCACAATTCTCATTGATCTTTTTCGAATGTGCGCAACTGTCAGATTTTGTACGCTGTCGACGTTAGCGTTCTGGCTCCAGCTTCAGCTTCAGCTCCAGCTCCAGGTCCAGCATGGACTTGCACTCGGACACTCTGGGCTGTAGCTGAGGCTGTGGCATATCTTTGATTTGCTAATTAACGGTTTGTCGGTTCAGTTTGACATTTGAACATGAGTTCCTGACATTTTGGCGCGCGGGAATTCGTTGAAGGTAGCTGAGAGTTGGCTACACTCAGCGAAAACAATTAGTTGGCTATCGTACAGAAACACTTTCCTTCGGATAAACCAATCAACAGTTAATATTAATAACATTAATACTTCGATATTTGGTACCAAATTGTAAGACTCTGAAGCACAAGCTTCTCTTTGATGTGTTTTGAAAGCAAAGTTCCCTTCACTATAGTATATGACACCGACTCCACCTAAAAGAAAAATGTTACAGACTAGAAATAATCCCGACCTAATTTTAGCTTCCACATGGTTCTCCCATTTCTCTCCCTAAATAATGTTCTATAAATCTACAAAGTTCCAACAAGAACGTAACAAAAATTAAACAGTTTCTATTCTCTACAATCGTAATTAGTCGAAAATTATTTGAAAAAGCTGCGCTTTCTGCCAATAGAAAACCTCAAATATCGTTCTATGATTTGGGAAAGTTAGGAATCAATTATTGCTGAATTGAAAAAAAGCAAACGAATATTTCCTGAGTGTAGATTTCTGCGTGTCTGTCCTGAGGTGGGAATGAATCCGAAAACATTTTTCTCGAAGTGTGTTTGTTCGCTTGGACGAGCTATTGATACGCTTGGTGTTGCTGTTGTTGTAGC